ATATTTCGATGCTTTGGATTTTGTTAAGGCTTGCTTTATGGCCTAATATGTGGTCTATTCTGGAGAATGTTCCATGTGCATTGGAAAAGAAAGTATTCTTGGCTGCTGTTGGGTGGAGTGTTCACTATATGTCTATGAGATCAAGTTGGTTGATTGTGGCATTTAGATCTTCCATGTCTTTATTGAGCTTCTTTCTGGATGTTCTGTCCTTCACCAAAAGTGGTGTGTTGAAGACTCCGACTACTGTTGTGGAGCTGCCCATCTCTCTTTTCAGTGCTGTTTTATGTATTTTGGAGCCCTGTTGTTGGGTGCATAAATATTTATTATAGTTATGTCCTCCTGGTGTATTGACCCTTTAATCATTATATAGTGTCCCTCCTTATCCTTTGTGGTGGATTTTCCTTTAAAGTCTATTTTGTCAGAGATTAATATTGCCACTCCTGCTCTTTTTTGGTTGTTGTTTGCTTGATATATTTTTTTCTATCCTTTGAGTTTTAGTTTGTTTGTGTCTTTAAGTCTAAGGTGTGTCTATTGTAGGTAGCATATAGACGGATCATGATTTTTTATCCAATCTACCACTCAGAGGGCCATTTTAAAGGAAGAATATATGAATATGTACCGGGCATCAGTACAAGGAATATGATGGAGCTGCCCCTTCAGAAAGAAGCCCCGGTGATGCAGTAGTTAAGTGCTCAGCTGCTAACGAAATGTTGGTGATTCGAAACAACCAGTTGTTCCATGGGAGAAAGATGTGGCAGTCTGCTTCCATAAAGATTACAGCCTTGGAAACCCTACACGGCAGTTCTATTCTGTCTTACTGGGTCATTATGAGTCAGAATCGACTCGATGGCAATGGGTTTGGTTTTGGTGTGTTTTGGCCCCTTCAGAGGCTTTGTAGGCTCCAAGGAGTGTCCTAAAAGAAGAGGATATTTCTCAGAAGGGCCATGGGAAGGAAAATTAATTTTGGCTTTAGTGGAATCCAGGCTATGTTTTCCTTCTTGTTTTATCTTTTGACCCCATCACCTGTAATTCCACCCACGGTCCCTCTCATGCTACTCCAAGGCCATTGCCTCTTTTGCTAGGATCCCCCTGCATCCTCTCCTTCTTTGAGAGTCCTTTGAAATCCCACCAAGCCACGCCCTCTCACCCATAGGTCCCATGCACATGTCATCTTAGCAGTAAGGCACATCTGGACTGTAAACATCTAGTTACTTATTTGGTGGTGATTCCAAAGCCTGGCTTCTGGAAGGGAACCGTGTCATTGCCAGCATCTTTAGTCTATCAGCAAATGTTTATTGAACTCTTACTGTGTGCTGAGCACCATGCTGGGGACCACGGAAGCAGGCAGCAGTCCCTGCCTTGAAGAGCTTATAATCTCCTTTGAGAGGACGGGGCGGAGGCCACAGCCTCAGCCAAGGCTTGCTGAGGACAGGAGGGGCCACATCTGGCTAGACTGGAAGGGCGTTTCAGAAGGTCTAAGTCCTTCCAGAAAGGAAGATTTCCATAGGCACAGAAGATGGGGGTGGGAGCAGTGGGAGCAAAGTGGGCGAGCTGGAAAGTCTGAGGTGGCTGCACCTGGGCTTGAGTGAGGCATTCATCTGGTGCGGTAGGGAGTCCTGGCTAAAAAGAAGTGTTGGCACATTCCTTAGAATGTGGAGCTCTAAGGGACCAGGTCATCAAACTTGCTAAAAATGGCATCTTGGACCAGAGGGGCTTTAATGTGCCATGTGGGAGGCTGCAGCGCCCAGGCCCCTAATTCTCTGCCGAGACCCAGGGTGAGAGGTCCAGCTTATCAATGGCTGAGCAATCCACAAAGTCTTGGGGGTAGCTGTTGGCCCGGAATGGGTCCAGGGGGACCTTCGTGATGTGAGTGTTGTCACAGATGAGGCGTGAGACAGACACTTTCTGCAGGGCATCCCGCTGCTCCTTGGTGAAGACCCCAGGGTTCTCCCACCAGAACCTGCAGAGACAGAGCAGTCTACCCAGATGGCCCAGTGGCAGTTCCTCCCTGACCTACCAGAGGGGAGGAAGAGTCCTTCCGAGGGCCTCTTCGTGCCCTGGTGTAGATTCTATGGAAGGTGGCCTGGGTTTCACCCTGGTGGTTACCAACCAGCTAAAGATCCCCTTCTTCTCAATCTTGGGAGGACAGAGGGATGAGCATCACCAAGGGGATGATGAGAGCAGTGAGGAAGGAAGTCACAGGGGACAGGTGAAAGCCCTGCGCATGCTGAGGTCTGGAGCTGGCCCTCATGCAGGATGAAAATTGGGATGCCCACCTTAGAGAAAGGCTCCACTTGGTCCTCCGTGGCCGAGGCTGCACGTACCTGTCTCCATCGCGGATCTTCTGGAACTGCTTCCCCACGAGACAGTTCAGGAGAGACCCCACCCGGCCTCCCTCTACCATGGGCTCAGCAATGGCCCCTATCCAGACATCGATGTTGTCAGGGGTCCCATAGAGATCCAGTAACTTCTTAGCCAGCATCTCGTTCTTCAGCACAGCAGCCAACTCTTCCATTGTCTTGGGCTGGAAGAGGCCACAGAAGCCTCTCCAGGAGTTGTACCCTAAGGTGGGGAGGCCGAGGTTGTGTCACTCCAGGGGCTTCCTGCCCACATCCCCTCTTGGAGACATACCGCTCCAGCTTCATCAGCCCCAGAAAGTCTAGGCTCCCAGCCTTTTGGGATGAGGGAGGCAGTGATCCACTGTTTATATCTTTGGTACTTCAGTCTCTAGAAAGCTAGATTATGTGGGGGCTTACTATGGGTCCAGGCACATTTCTAAGCACAGTACAAATACTGTGAACTGAAAAATAGATGTTAAGTAACTTCCCAGGGTTATATAACCATAAATGGCACTGCTGGGCTTTGAATTCAGGCAGCCAGGCTCAATTACTACATTAAATTGCCTTTCATGGGCACAAAAGAAAGGCCCAACAGTCATTTCTTTCTTTCTATTCTCCCTTTCTTAGGCTTTTTTTGGCTTTTAAACTGGTTTTACAAGCTAGTTGTTGATGACTTTTTCATTTGAGGCATTCTGAGATGTACCAGGTATGTTCTCTTGTCTCTGCATTAGGGAGAATGGAAGATTCCATTTCACAGATGAACAAAGTGAGTTTTAAAAACTAGTCTCTCTGCCCTCTGTTGTAGAACTGATCAGGTCCTCAAGATTACAGCAGAGAGTCAGAGAGTCCCCAGGAGCCCCCAAAGTAGCTAAAAGCTCCCCAGGACCAGGTCAGTTCTGGGCCACTCACCAGGCAGCCCATGGTCCCGGCCCCGTTGTATGTTGATGGCAGCCAGGTCATGGCCATGAATGTTGTGCTGTGGCTGGAAGAGCTTGTTGCGTAGCTCTCCTGTCATCATTTTATTCTGGTGCATCAACTTGGACTTCTTGGCCAGCAGGCCCCGTACCAGAGGGTCAATTCCACCTGCAAGGGAGACCCAGAGACCATCCTGGGGGTGGAGACATCTTCCACTGTTGGCTCCTCCCTCCACCAGACATTGTCTCTCAGGTGAAAGTAGGACCAGCTGAACATGTCAGGCTGGAAGCTGGGAGAGAAGAGTACATTGCAACCTGCAGAGGGTGCTAGCGGGAGAGGGCAGCCCAGCTCTCTGGAAGGGGCATTCATGGGATGATGTCATGAATATAAGCTTAAGGATTTTCTCCAAGCTGTAGTTCACGGAGTCAGCTCCTTCTCCTTCCATATATTCCCCAAGGAACACTGCCGCATGGGGGAGAGTTAGCATAAATCTTTAGGAAATGGCCCTGACTTGTCAGGCCTTGGAGCCCTAGTGGTGCAGTCGTTAAGAGCTTAACTGCTAACTGCTTAACTGCTAACCAGCCACTCCTTAGAAACCCAATGGAGCAGTTCTACTCTGTCCTATAGGGTTGCTATGAGTCGGAATCAACTAGACGGCAACGAGTTTTTTTGTTTTTTTTTGTCAGGCCTTAAGTAAAGCAGGTCTCAACACAGCCCGGCCCAGGAATAAAGGAGAGCTGCGTCCAACCTCTGACACCTAATGGAGGTGGAAGGCCCTAGAGGAGAGCAGAAAAGAGCAGTGTTATTTGCCAACCCATGAATTCTTTCTACAAGGGTCACAGAAGCTTAGGGCAGGGAAGGGAGCTAGGGACACCCTAGTCACTTTAGAAGCCAGAAGGAGGAAAGAAATAACTAATACTTACTGACCACTTTCTGTGTGTCAGGAATCCTCGTTGGGTGCTCTACACATGTATCTCATCTAATTATTTTGGATATCTTAGTGAGATAGGTACTATTATTATCCCTATTTTACAGATGAGGAAGCTGAGGCTCAGAGAAGTGAATTCACTTGCCCAGGTCACACAGGAAATGCTTGGAGTCTGAGTTCCAAGCCAGGTTTCCAGACAAGCAGGCTGGAGAATGGGAGAGCCAGGTGACAGCACTTCCCTGATTGGACTTACCGTCTTTAACTATCCTCCAGGTGTTAAAGAAGAGGGTATGCAGGGGGAGCTCTGACTCTGGGCCCCATGGCTGATAGTTTTCATCCAGGCGAGACACAGTGTAGGGGATCTCTAAGTGGCCAAAGCGGAAGGCGAAGGTGAAGACATTGGAAATCTGGGGATCCACAGATTCATCATAGCCTTGGTATGGAGGGATCTTCTTCTGCATCTCGTCATCACCCAGCACAATGGGCAGGTAGTCCCTAAAGGTGATAATCTGGAGGGAGAAAAAAGCCATGGGGAAAGGATGTGAGAAGGCTTAAATCTCTGCAGAGGGAGGCCGGTGAGGAGCTGTGGCCAAGAGGAAGGAGCAGTAAAAAATCAAGGATGGCAAACGGACAACATATGTGCCCAGTTCCCCTTCGTATGACCGTGGCAGACATTGCTAATTGATGATGACATTCTTTCTGCTGATCTCTCATCATTTGTCTCAATATAGGTGCTACTTGGATTTGGCAGCTGAGATGCATTCTCTTTGCCATCTTTGCTCTGAGTTAATGACCTTAATGCTAAAGTGGCAGTCCTTGTGTGTCACTTTAACTTAACAATGTCATGTTATTAGGATTAAGGCTTACTATATAGCTACAGTAATCAAACAGTGTGGTACTGTTGTAAGAATAGACACATAGATTAATGGAATAGAATAGACAACCCCAAAATAGATCCACACAAATATGCTCAATTCATTTTTGACAAAGGAGTAAAAGCAATTCAATGGAGGAGGGATAGCCTTTTCAATGAGTGGTACTGGAGCAATTGGACATTCATAGGCCAAAAAAAAAAAGCACCTATACCTAAATCTCACACTTTATACAAAGGTTAACACTAAATATAAAACATAAAATTATAAACCTTCTAGAAGAAAACGTAAGAGAAAATATTTGGGATCTAGGGCTAAGCAAAGAGTTCTGAGACTTGACACCAAAAGCACAGTCTATAAAAAGAAATACTAATAAATTGAACCTCATCAAAATTAAAAACTCTATTCTGTGAAAGGCCCCGTTAAGAGGATGAAAAGACAAAATACAGAGTGGGAGAAAATATTTTCAAATCACATATCTGACAAACGACTTGTGTCTAAAATACATAAAGAACTCTCACAACTCATTGTTGATGTTAAAAAAAACAACAATCTTTTGTCCAATTTCAAAATGGGCAAAAGATATGAACAGATATTTCATTGATGAAGATATACAGATGGCAAATAAGCACATGAAAAGATGTAAATCATTATTAGCTATTAAAGGAATTCGGATTAAAATCACAATGAGTTATCACTAAACACTTATCAGAATAGCTGTAATAAAAAATAGTGGTAACATCAAACGTTGATGAGGATGCTGACTGCAGTGCAGTGAATTACTTAATATGGCCCTTCTAGCCATAGTCTTTGTAACTCCCACCAGATGACTGGGTGGGACTATGCAAATGAGGTGCTTGTGGCCCACCAAGGGGATTGGATAGTTTGCTAATAATGTAAATAATGTGCATGGCACACTTGTAGGGGTGGGACCAGGCAAATTAGGTGTATGGAACCCTAATGAAGGAATTGGTCAGTTTTGCCATTCTGCTAGGCTTAAAAGAGAGCCAATCCCAGAGCAGAGAGGGGACCTCACTACCACCAAGAAAGAAGAGCCAGGAGTGGAGCACACCAAAAATATCCTTTGGACCCAGGATATCTGTGCTGTGACTCTCTTACACTCAGGAGACAGAGAGAGAGAGTTGTAACACTGAAGATGGCGAGAGCCGGGATAAGCAGAAGCAGTAGAACCAGGAGACCAGCAGGAGACAGCTTCTTGGCCCACAGAGCGAGAAAGTTGAGTACCTTCAGGCAAGAGGCTTCCTAGCAGAGTGGGGTGCCTCTGGGCACCTGGTGCCACAGCTAGGTTCACCAACCCGCTAAGTGAGACAGCTCAGCACCTTTGGGATGAGGCTTGCTGGTGGAGTGGGATGCCTCCAGGCACTTATTGGCAGAGCTAAAAGAGCTCTGTAACGCTTGCCTAAGCACGGCAGAGGCTGAGAAGCCAGAGAGAGACATGCCTATGGGCACCGCTGAGGAGAGGCTGCCCTCATCGAAGAACTGTATCCTGAGTTGTTCCTGAACCTGAATTATAACCTGTTACTTCCCTAATAGGAGCCCTGGTGGATGGTAGTTAAGAGCTTGGCTGCTAACCAAAAGTTTGGATCCACCAGCCGCTCCTTGGAAACCCTATGGGGCAGTTCTACTCTGTCCTATAGGGTCTCTATGAGTCGGGATCAACTCGATGATAACGAGTTTTTTGTTTTTGCTTACTTCTCTAATAAACCCCATAATCGTGAGTATTGTCTGTGAGTTCTGTGTGGCCATTGCAACAAATTATCAAACCCAGCAGAGAAGTAAAGAGTGCCGAGGGAGGCACAGTTGGTGTCAGAATTAGTAAAAAGGTTGGATGGTAGAGGCACGTCTGACCTCCACCTCATAGGAATCAGCCTTGGGCTGTTAATCTTGATTCTCACTCCCCCTTGTGAAGTTAGAGGAGGTCAGATGCCCCATCACGCCATTTTTGCACGAAGAAACTGAGTCACTCATACATTGCTGGGTGGGGGATGTAAAATGGTACAGCCAGTCTGAAAAGTAGTTTGACAGTTCCTTTAAAACTACAAATGGACTTACCATATGGCCCAGCAATTGCACTCTTGGGCATATATCGCAGAGAAATGAAAACTTACTTTCATATAGATACGTGTACATAAATGTCATAGTAGCCTTATAGAAACTACCTGTTTAAACAAACTGTGGTACATCCATACAACAACAGAAAGGAATGAACTATTGATACATGCAATGGCGTGGATGAACCTCAAGGAAATTACGCTGAATGAAAAAAAGCCAATTTCAAAAGGATACATACTGCATGGTTCCATTTATATGACATTGGTAAAATAATTTAACTGTAGAGATGGAGCAGTTCTACTCTGTAACACATGGAATTGCCATGAGTTGGAATCGACTCGACATCAATGGGTTTGGTTTTTGGTTTTAGAGATGGAGAACAGTTTAGTGATTGCCAGGGATTAGGGATGAGGAGTGGCGGTGGACATGACTTAAAGGAGTAGCATGAGGGAGTCCTGTGGTGATGGTGTAGTTAAGCACCTTTATTGTGGTGCTGGTTACCTGAAACTACCTGATGCTGTCGAGTCATACATGAAACTACATGTGATAAAACTGCATAGAACTGTACACACACTGAGCCCTGGTGGACAGTGGTTAAGAGCGTGGCTGCTAACCAAAAGGTTGGCAATTTGAATCCACCAGCCGCTCGTTGGAAACCCTGTGGGGCAGTTCTGCTCTGTCCTATAGGGTTGCTATGAGTCACAATCAATTCGACAGCAACAGGTTTGGTTTGGTTTTTACACACACAAACACACACACACACACACACACACACACACACGGTTGCATTTATAACTGGTAAAATCTGAATAAGCTGTATGGTTTGTATCAATGTTAATTTCTTAGTTTTGATATTGTATTGTAGTTACACAAGATGTTAGCATTGGGGGAGGCTAGGTGAAGGGTGCATATTGGCAACCTCCTGTGAATTTATCGTAATTTAAAAATAAAATGTTTTGAAAATATGTGTGTGGTTAATATTAACATATCAACCTTTCCAAGTCTCTTCTAGTTAGTTAATCATCCAATTCAACATCAGTTGAGTATGCCCATGCCAAGTGGCTTAGGTGTAGAGAATTATAAAGGAAGAGAATCAAGTCAAAATAACTTGCTAAGGAGTGATGGCACCTACAGTCCTAGCGATAGGACCAGGACAGGCACACTGAAGTGATCGACTCATTAATGCTTTTCTGATACTCTGAATCTGGTGATTGATTCATTTTGGGACAGAAGAGCTGAAGAAAGGAAAGGATGGAGGGTTTAAAAGAATGAGCCAATGGGAGGGAAGCAGTAGAGGAGAGGAGGAGGGAAATGGAGGAGTGGAAAACAAAGAAGGTAGCTGGACGTGGTGCAGGGAGCAGAGGGCTGAGCTAGGAACCGGAGCCAGGTGCTGTGTGGGGCAGTGCTCCTGTCTCTCTTTACCTGCGTGAAGGCTCCCAGGATTTTCCGGGTTTCCTGGTAAAGCATCTCTCCATCCCAGTGAGGATTGAGTCTCTTTAGTTCTCTGGCCAGTCGGTTGTGCTCTCGGAGGAAGAGGGTGTGGGAAGTGGCCAGCAGGATCTGCTCTGAGGCTCGGGAATCACCTAGAAGGTGGGAAGGCAGGAAGGTGGATTCTCCCTGAACAGCCCAGAAGCCAGTAACCTGCACAAGGAATGATGGTGCCCCCAAGGAACCCTCTCCTAAGCACCTGCTTCCAGTTAACTTAAGGGAGGTCATGTGGAGCAGCAGGATGGGGTGGGGAATTAGAGGTTTGAATCCCAGCTCTACTGCTTTTTAGCTGTGTGACCTTGGGCAAGTTATTTAACATTTCTGAGGCTTTTGTGAGCTTATCTGTGAAAATGGGGATATCACGGCCTATTTCACAGGATTGTAGTAAAGGTGACATATTAAAAAACAAAATTTTACTAACAGTAATCCCAACTGCCTTCTAAGAAAACCCCAACCCATTGCTGTCGAGTTGATTCCGACTCATAGGGACCCTATAAGACAGAGTAGAACTGCTCCATAGGGTTTCCTGGGCTGGTGGGTTTGAACAGCCAACCTTTTAGTTAGCAGCCTAATACTTAAATATTGTGCCACCAAGGCTCCTTTCACAAATAGATAAAGGGCTCTTTATTTTGTTGAGCAACTTTGAAGGTTTTGGGGATGCGGGTTTGAGGGTAGGCTCCTGGGCAGGGCTGAACTCTGTGGAATAAAGAGAGAAGAATCTGGAGTGGGAGATGATCTGGGAGGGAGGGGGAGAGAAGCAAGGACAGCAGAGGGAGACCACTGAAATCGTGGAAGACTGTGTGTTCCTCTAATCATCAGAAAAGTCTATTAACCTCACAAATGCTTGGGCTTAGTGGATATTTTTGTGAAAAATGGGCAGGGGCTCAGTTTTGTGTCTGGATTGGTGTGAGGCACATGTGGATACAGAATCAAGAGATCTCCTGAGAGATCCTGGCCTGTGGGCCAGCCTTCTGCCATGTCTCGGTGGCCAGAGGGTTTATGTGGGGGGAGTGGGTTTTTGGAGGAATGAAGGCCTCTAGAAGCCAAGGACGGAGGGGACCAAGAGGGCATGAGCCCCCGAAATGAACAGAACTGAGAGGGCTCTGGTGGTCCACCATAGGGAGTGGGGGTTTGTACCAAGTTTATGGAAAGCCTTAAAAATACATGCCCCTTCATCCAGAAATCCCCCCTCTAGGAAATTATATTACTAAATTCATTAAAAATGAACACAAAGATTCATCAGCAAGGATGTTCATTACCTCAAAAAAAAAAAAAAAAGAAAAATTAGAAATAGCCTGTTGTTATTGTGTGCTGTTGCGTTGATTCCGACTCATAGCAACCCTATGGACAGCAGTAGAACTGCCCCTTAGGGTTTCTTAGGCTGTAATCTTTATGGGAACAGGTCTCCAGGTCTTTTCTCCCTTGGAGCCGCTGGTGGGTTCACACTGTCTCGCTTTTGGTTAGCAGCCAAGTGCTTAACCATTGCACCACCAGGGATTCTTAGAAATAGCCAATGTGTCCCCATATAGGGCTGATAAAATACATTATGGTAATATTGCCATGGAATACCAGGCAGCCATTAAAAATCATGTTGTAGAAGAATATTTAATGACATGGGATATATTGAGTGAAGAATCAGCTTATACAGCATTATTTATAGTATGATTTCAATTATGTGAAAAATGTAGAATTATATTTATGACAGAAAAAAATACTGGAAAGATATTGTTATGGATCGAATTGTGTCCTCCCAAAATATGTGTTGTAAATCCTAACCCCTATACTTGTGGTTGTAATCTCATTTGGGAATAGGATATCCTTTGTTATGTTAATGAGGCCATATCAGTGCAGGGTGTGTTTTAAGCCAATCAACTTTGAGATATAAAATGAGTAGCTCAGGCACAGAGAAGCAAGCAGAGATGGGTGAAGACAGATGCCAAGCCACGTGAAGATTGCCATGAAACCGAGGAACACAGCTGAAAAGAGACGAGGACCTGCCCCCACAGAGCCAACAGAGAGACAATGCCTTCCCCTAGAGCTGGAGCCCAGAATTTGGACTTCTAGCCTCCTGAGCTGTGAGAAAATAAATTTCTGTTTGTTAAGGCCACTCACTTGTGGTACTTCTGCTGTAGCAGCACTAGATAACTAAGACAGATTCACATTACAATGTTATTATCTGTGGGTGGTGGAATTGTGTGTGGTTATTATTTTTTAAATTTTTTTAGTGCTTTTCTGGACCTCCCTATTTTTTTTTTTTTTTTGCAGTGACCATGTGTTCTTAAATTCTGTATTCATCTAGGCCCCTCTGCCAGTCCTAGGCCAGTGCCAGGGGGAGTGGTGGCTTGGTGTGCATTTTTCCAGAAAGATGATGAGAAGGAGCAGTGGCAAAGACCCCCTGGAAGTTGCCTGGCGGCCTTGTGAAGTTTTTGGTCTCTCTCTGCTCAGTCCCCAGGGCAGTCCCCTTGTCCGTGGGCCCCTCTGTTCCTGACCTAGACTCACCCGCCAGGAAGCAGGGCACTCGGGCCGTGGTGTTGATGAATTCGCAGGGGCTTGGCTTCTTGATGACAAAGGGCAGGTAGGGCAGCCCATGGTCCGAGACCTCCGGGTTGACAGCCATGAGGCCCAGGGGGCTGCTGAGGTTGCGGAGGCGGCTGGCCAGACTCAGCTCTGACCCGTACACAAAGCTGGCATCCAGGAAGGAGGTGGGAGCATTGATCTGCTCTCGGGTCAGTGAGTTGTAGGGTGGAGAGGGGCAGACGAACCCGGTTCGGAAGAATGGCAGGCACTTCCCTTGAGTCTTCAGCTTGGGGTCTTCGGGCGGGAACTGCAGAGATCGGGGTTGGGTGACTGGGCAGGGATGGCGCAGCTAGGCCCTGGGAACCTCTCTCCAGCTGAGTCTGGATGCAGCTGGCACAGATGCCGATGGCACCCTCCTGGGACCCTAGTACTAGACACTGACCCCAGACATCTCCTGCTGACACCATGCATCCTGTGTGCACAAAACCCTAAAGTTCATTACATCTTGCTGTGTAAGAGAACTGAGGGGGATCATTTAGTCTTTCACGGCTTGCGCTCTGAATATTTGGTGGGATGGAGCCTAAGATCCCTGGATAGGGAAGCTGGGCATGAGATGAGAAAAGAGTTTGTTCATAGTTACTACTAATAATAGCTACCGTTTATTTATTTTGAACTTACCGTGTCAAGCATTACGCAAACTTTATCTCACTTTGGTCTTCACAAAACCCTGCAAGGTAGACAACTCATTCCATTTTACAGGTCAGAAAACTGAGCCCTAGAAAGGTTGAGTAACTTGCCTAAGGAATTACAAACTGGAAAGGAAAGATGTTGGGGTTCAGATCCAGATTGGCCTCACTCTATATCCCATGCTCTTTCTACCATAGCATATAGCCTTGACTTGTTGTTTGAATGAGTAAATGACTAACTGCAGAATCTACAAATACTAAGAAAAGGTGCACCATTGCAAATTCCTCTCCCTTCCTGCGGGAAATTCCCGAAAATCCTTGCTGGCTCACTCTGGCTCATCCATCAAGTTTCAGCTCCTTCTGGGAATAGACTTCCCTGACCCCAGGATGACTTAGAACATCCTTCCACAAACTTTATTGTGTGTGAGCTGAATCTCCCGGGGACCGTGGTAAAAGGTAGGTTTTGTTTCCGAATGTCTGAGTGGGGCTTGCGGTTTTGCATTTCTAATAAGTCCCCAGGTGATGCTGATGCTGCTGAGCTTCAGGCTTAGACAACCCTCCCCAGATCTTCCCGATTTTGTCATCAGTGTTTACTTGTTCATTTCTCACATTGGCCCTTTGTCACAGGGCAGGGCTTGGTGCACTGCCTGCCACCAGTAGATGATTAATGTCTGTTTACTGAATAAATGGATGAGTGAATGAATGGATGAGTTGGGAAGCTATCAACTCAGCATTCAGGATCCACCAAGAGATCCCGGCTGACAGGCAGGGTGGGCAAGGAGCTTGTCCAGGATCATCATCTAGCCGAAGGGACCTACCATGATAGGGAAACAGTTGTCCCCCTGGATACAGTGTTTTTCACACTGGACTTTGGAGTACTCGCTACTCCCCGGCTCGGTTTCAGGGGCAAAGTCCAGGTCGTGGTCCACAATTTGACCCCACTGCATGAAGAGCAGGGACGTTTTTTGGTCCAGAACACCCTCCTCGTTCAGATAGCCAACAATCTTGTTGGATACCTCTCGGGCCTATAGATGGAAAGAGAACAGGAGGATTAGAGGAAAAAGTGTTTTGAGGATTCAGATTCAACTGCAGTTTATCAAGTATCTATGATGTAAGAGGTACATTTAATCCCCATAGCAAGCATGTGAGGTGGGTGGCATTACTCCCATTTTATAGATGAGACTGAGTCCCAGAGAGGTGAAGTCAGCTCTCCCAGGCCCTGCAGCTATGAAGGGACAGAGGTAGGATTGAAACCACGTCTGTATGACTTCCAAGGCCAGTGCTCTTTCCACTATGAAGAGGGAAAGCAAAGACAGGCTGCCTCGGAAACAACCGCCAAGGAGGTGCCAAGTGTCCAGGAGTAGGAGAGGGGCTCTGGGTAGGGGCTGCCAACTCAGATGAGGCCAACAGAAAGGACCTCCTGGCCAACAACAGCTGATGCACTCCAGAGGCTGGGGCAGGGTCAGCGCAAGCAGGACGGGGCAAGGAAGCCATCTGCCTGGGACACCCCAGGGCATCTGGCCTGCTGACAGCTGGGCCGCGACCACCACGTGCCTGGACGCCGGGCTCCAGGCTCTGCTGCCCTCTAGTGGTGGTCTGGGGAATAGCGCCAGAAAGCCCGTCCAAATCTCCGTCTTTCTGCTGACGCGCGCGGCTCCGCCGCCCATCCCTTCGCTCTCCCACCCTATTTCTTCTCCCTTTCTGTGTATGTTTGGGGAGTGCCTTCCTTCCCCTGTGACTCCCATCCTTCATCCCCCCATACTCGAGGGCTCACTCCCACCCCGACCTCACCAGCGGGAGAGGGAAGCCGTTTCGCGTCTTTCGCGGCGTCCACCCAAAGGGGAGGGAGACCCCGTCCTCGTACTCGGCCGGCAGCCAGCGCACCAGCGCCCTGTTGGCTGCTCCCAGCGCCGGGTTCCTCCTGAAACCCAGCAAGACCTGCCCTCAGCCTCAGCCGTCCGCCCAGGATTTGCTTCTCCGCGGAGCCCCGACTGGCCCTGGGAGGATCTGGGAGCCTATGTCCTAGGGAAAGGGAATTCGGAGGAAGTACCTCTCAAATTTGGGATTTCTGAATTTTACCCCACCCACTGGGGAAAGGTGCTGCTTCCAGTAGGGTACGGTGGTCTCACGGGAGATGGCTGGAGACTTGTATTCTTTAGAAGATAGGGAAGTTGGGGGAGGGTTTCAACGGAACAGATTCCAATGGGACGCAAATCCAGGAGAGCAAAGCAGTGGGAGTTCTGCCTGGAATGCCCAAGTGCAAAGTGCCTGGCTAGGCTAGGTAGGTGGGCTCGGCTGGGGGGAGGGGCTAGGCTGGTCTGGGTAGGTGGCCTGTGCTGAGCAGGGCTGGGTAGGTGGGCTGGGCTGGGTAGGTGGGCTGGGCTGGGTAGGTGGGCTGGGCTGGGTAGGTGGGCTGGGCTGGGTAGGTGGGCTGGGCTGGGTAGGTTGGGCAGGCCAGGCGGTCCTGGGAGGGTCTGACCCACACCCGCACTCCTGCCCAGTCACCTGTTATTACAGTCTCCCGTAATGGTGCGATAAGGGCTGTTCTTGTTACATTTCACCGCAGAGGCAGAGAGACATCTCACTTCGTGACAGAGGAAAGCCAAGTGTACGCTGGGGCCTGAAACAGAAGGGGCGCCAAAGGGGCTAAGCTATTTCTCCGTTCTCCAGTTTGCAGAGGGGGCAGGGAATTAAAACCAGGGATGGCCTTACATTGCTTCAGGCCGACAGTTTGGAAAGCTCATCTTCTGCGACATAATCCTAGTAAATCCCCCTGACAGAAGTGGCTTAAATGCCCTCTCCCCTCCCTCCCCCTGCAGAATTGGTGACGCTGTGGGTTGGGACAGGGATCCCATGTTTATTGACTTTAGCACTTCCTCTGTGCAGAGGCTTTACAGATGGTATTATACAAAGAGCACTGATGTCCTCTCATTAAGAGTTTGCAAGGTGACCTTGATGGGTCTGAGTTCCTGCCTCTGTGGAAAGAGCACTGGATTAGATGTCCTCTAAGCCACTCCTCACTCTATTGGTCTACGATTCTAAGAAGGGAGAGACAGGGAATGCAGCTTTTGGCGGACTCTCCTGCAAGGTCTCTGAGTGGTGTAAATGGTTTGTGCTTGTCTACAAACCTAGAGTTTGAGGTTTGAACCCACTCCAGTGGTGCTGCAGAAGAAAGGCCTGGCAGTCTGCTTCCATAAAGATTACCTCCAAGAAAACCCTATGGAGCAGTTCTACTCTGTTACATGGGGTCACCATGAGTAAGAATTGACTCAACAGCAACTTTTTTTTTTCTCTCTCTGTCCTGCGGGGAGATGACCCCTTCCTGCCATCAGAGGGCTAGTGGCTTTTCTGTACCTGTGACATTGGTCAAGGTCAAGTGCTGCCTCAGTCTGTTTAAGGTCTCCTCCCACACCTGACCTTTGCGGATGGCCATGCGAGTCTGGCCTTTGGCATGCTTGAAATATTTTAACAGCTGTCCGGTGGTGGGAGTCTCAGAGCTCATGGAAATCTTCAGCCTGCAATGGAGAGCAATGGAAAAGTTATGATGGGACCCCCAGGCTCAGATCCTGTAGAAGGGAGTTGGTGTGAGGTAGTGAGTGTATAGGAGGCGCCATAGGGAGGCGTCGGCAACATGTAGGAGACAAGCACTTCTTGTGCTGTCCGACCTTTTCTTTGTTTCTGTTTAATGCTTCTGGAAAATCTCTTCTGGGAAGAGGAAGCTACAGTTGTCTTTAAGCTTTGTTAGGTGTGGTCCTGAGGGAAGGCAGGTGGATGCTTCCTGGATCTGTATCACAGAGCTGCAGCGGGGCTGGCTGTGTCAGAGTCAACTGGGGCAACTTTAAAAACACACAGTTCCCAGGATTTACTGAGTCAGACTTGGGAAACACCTAACACAAGCTGGCATCTCCTCAAGTCTTGTGGGCTGATAATTAGAGGAATAAGAAGCTTATGAGTCTTCTGCCCATGAAACCACCCTTAACTGCTTCTGGGCCTAGAGTGAGTGTGGAGTGTGTTTAGATGTGACACACCTTGGCTCTGGGCCGTAGCATCCAGCCTATCTCTGACCCTGCCTTGGACAAGATATCTAGCCTTTTTATTCCTTAATTTCCCACATGTAGAATGAGCAGCCAAAACCCTTCTATTAAGAAGTTTGTGACAACACAGAGATGACCGAGGGCAGGGTGTTGTCAGAAAAGTCCCTCCACATGAACTTTCTACCCCCTCAGTGGGCCACAGTTTCCTCATGTGTGCGATAAGTGGGCTTGGCACAGTGATTAAGTGCTCAGCTGCTAACTGAAAGGTTGGTGGTTCGAACCCACCAGCTGCTCTGTGGGAGAAAGATGTGGCAGTCTGCTGCTTAAAAGATTTATAGCCTTGGAAACCCTATGGGGCAGTTCTACTCTGTGCTGTAGGGTCGCCATAAATGGAATCAACTTGACAGCAATGGGTTTAGTTGTGGTTTTTGTAGGTGGCACAAACAGTTTGTACTCGACTACTAACCCAGAGGTTGGCAGTTTGAACCCCCCCAGCAGCACCACGGAAGAAAGGCCTGGTAATCAGCTTCTGTAAAGATTACAGCCAAGAAAATCCTATGGAGCAGTTCTTCTCTGAAATACATGGCGTCACCATGAGTCGGGATTGACTGGATGGCAACAAGTTTTGTTTTTTTTTTTAATGAGATGATCTTGGAGGTGTTCTATGGCTCTAAAACCCATTGCTGTCAAGCCGATACCGACTCATAGAGACCCTGTAGGACAGAGTAGAACTGCCCCATAGGGTTTCCAAGGCTGTAATCTTTACTGAAGCAGACGCCACATCTTTCTGCTGCGGGGCATCTGGTGTGTTCGAACCGCCCACCTTTTGGTTGTCAACTGAGCACTTGAACCACTGGACCATCAGGGCTCCACTCTATAGCTCTAAGACGCTGAAATATTGGAAGTGGCTCGAAGTCTCTCAAAAGACAACCCTGTTTTTTGGGTGCAATTCACTGGCTTTAACACCTGGCCTGTCACTACAGGTCAAGTCATTAACTCTGTATGTAAAGTGTCAGAGGGCGCTGTGCCTCAACCCCAGGGACTACATGAGTGAGCAGGCCAGGCACAAGGAGGACTGTGATGATTGGGCTCTAATCACAGGCCCACCACCTCCTAACCCCCACCTCAGTAAAAAAGAGCCCAAGAGAATAAGGCATTTTGCTTTTTCGCTGCTTTTGTAAGAGACAGCGTGGCCCAGCGGCCCAGACTGCTTCACTGTCCAATATACTAACCACTAGCCATATGTGACTATTTAAATTGAAATTCATTAAAATAAAACTAAATTAAAAATTCAGTTCCTCAATTGCACTACCACATTTCAAGTGCTCAATAGCCACACGTACCTAATGACTACTGTACTGGACAGTGCAGATATAGAATATTTTCACCATCGCAGAAAGTTCTCTTGGGCAAATCTGCTGCAAAAGACCTCTTTAAAGTGTTGAAAAGCAAAGCTGTCACCTTGAAGACTAAGGTGACCCAAGTTATGATGTTTTCAATGGCCTCATATGCATGCTGGACAATGAATAAGGAAGACGGAAGAAGAATGGACACCTTTGAATTGTGGTGTTGGCAAAAAATATTGAATATACCATGGACTGCCAGAAGAACAAATAAATCTGTCTTCGAAGAAGTACAACTACAATGCTCCTTAGAAGCAAGGATGGTGAGACTATGTCTCACATACTTTGGACATGTTATCAGGAGGGATCAGTCCCTGAAGAAGGATGTCATGCTTGGTAAAGTCGAGTGTCAGTGAAAAAGAGGAAGACCCTCAACAAGATGGATTGACACAGTGGCTTCAACAATGGGCTCAAGCATACCAACGATTGCGAGGATGACGCAGGACTGGACAATGTTTCGTTCTGTTGTACATAGGGTCACTATGAGTCAGAACCGACTCGACGGCACCTCACAACAATAGCAGAAGGTTCTCTTGGACAGTGCTGGCCTGGAGTTTGGGCCTCGAGCCAAAGAGACTCAGTTTTGAATCCTGGTTATACTAGGATTGGTTTAATTATATGACCTCTGAGTGACCTGCCTCTTATCTATGAACTGGAAAGCATCATATTACTTACATTAGAGACTCAAAGTGTGAACTTTGGAACAGATTGGCTGGGTTTGACTCCTAACTGCCACTTTGGGCAAGTTACTCAATCTCTCTACCCCAGTTTCCTTATCCGTAAAATGAGGATAGTGATAGTAATCTTAGGTTGAACCATGGCATTTGATCATTTTTACCTCAAAAAATAACTGTTTTGTATGGTTTGATCTAACACTTTTTTTATGGATTGAATTGTGACCCCCTAAAATATGATTTGGAATACCAAGCCCTGTACCTATGGATGGAGCCCTGATGGTGCAGTGGTTAAGAGCTTGGCTGCAAACCAAAAGGTCAGCAGTTTGAATCCATCAGCCGCTCCTTGGAAACCTTATAGGGCAGTTCTACTCCGTCCTATAGGGTTGCTACGAGTCAGAATCAACTCGACAGCAACAGATGTGGTTTGGTTTCTTATACTCATGGATGTAATCCTGTTTGGAAATAGGGTTTTCTTTGTCACGTTAATGAGGCCGTATCAGTGTAGGGTATGTCCTAAACCTGTTCACTTCTGAGATACAACGAAAGCAGATTAGACATAGAAATGAACTCAGACGGGGGGTAGAGAGGAGATAGATGCCATGTGAAGATCACCAAGGAGCTGAGGAATGCTGGGGCTACAGAAACTGAGACAAGGGTCTCCCCCGACCTCAGCCGACAGAGGAAGAGCCTTCCCCGAGACCCATGCCCTGAATTTGCATTTCTAGCCTCCTAAACTGTGAGAAGATAAATTTCTGCCACCTACTTGTGGTATTTCTGCAGCAGCAGCACTAGGAAACTAAGACACACTTCATAGAAGTGTTGGGAGGAGTAAATGTGAAGCAGCTAGAGCTGTATCTGGTACACAGTAAACATTCACACATTACGCAGAAGCAGCAGCAGCAGCAGCCAGGTCCTGAAGGGGTTACTGCAAGATATTTCAGAGCAATGCCTCCCCCCACCCTGAACACAGGAAGGTCAGTTGCTGGGTTTCCCCAGGGCTCAACCTGAAAGATCCCCTGTGGGTGTTCTAGGTTCCCTCCTTCCTCTCCTGCCCTGGGCTCTTCGGGGATTCCACCTGCACGTTGACTCACCAGGGACTTACCTCCCGCTTTTTATCAGGGTTGGGCTCCACTGGAGCTGTCAGGCCTTTGAAGGACTCATTGTCCACCCCCACCACCTCCATCCTAGTCCAACCCACCATCCCCCCTCCTGGACCACCATAGTAGCCCCCTGCCTGGGCTCCCTGCCTCCTCTCCTGTGTCCTTCCCAACCATTCTCCACATAGATGCTGGGGTGATCTTTTTGGAATAAAAATCAGACCATGACACTGCCCTAGTTAAAGCTCTGCAGGGGCTTACCCTGGGACACTGCGTGGGACAAACCCAGCCCTTGGGGCCCACCTCTCTACCACACCTCCATTGTTTCCTGAGCACCCCAGCTCTTTCTTGCCTCTGGGCTTTGCCGTTGCAGTTCCAGTACCTGGAATTCCACACCCTGGCTCTCTGAATGCTGGCTCCTTCTCCCGCTCAGGTAGGCTTTGTTGACCTCTTGCCTAGAGCAGAACCCCTTGCTCTGCCAAGTTCCTCCCTTGTCCTTATTGCGAGTGGCTAGATTATTAGTTTGTGAACTTGTGTAACAGGATATTTAAATGTGACTCCTCCTGTCTCTATGAGGCCTCTAAATCAAAAAACTGAACAATGGGCACAAGTTCCCCCACATTTCAAAGCAGGGCACTGGTCCTCCCCTACCCAACAGGACTTGGAAAGGAGGTAGACGAATACTGATTTTGTGACTTTTATTCTATGCCCCACCTTGAGGCTATGAAAGGATTGAAGTGAAGGAGGGGGACAAGATTTTCATCCAGAGATAACTGCTGAAATGCTGAGCCTTTCCTCGCCTCACCCCACACCATGGAGCCTCCCTTTCACTTTCATCTTAGTGAGAAGGACTCTATGTGGGCCGATCGCTGAGGAGGAGGGCTTGGTGTGTGTGTCCTGGAGTCTTGGCTGGAGTTTGATAACCAAAAAAAAAAAAAAAAAACTAATACAGAGGTCCCCAGGCTGCAGAAAATTCCACTGCAGCTTGCTTGGCCTGCCTCACAATTTTTGCATCGTAATTCCAGGCCATTGCTTGGCTGGCCTCGCCATTTTTGCATTAAAATTGCAGTTCCCTTGCTTGGCCTGCCGGTGAAAATGCTGGTGCCTACGTGGTATGATTAAGAATGTTGCTGATGTAACTTGTATGAACTCCCTACTTGTAAACCCCTTAAAAATAACTTCTCTCCTTGCCCTCTGGGAGCAGTCTTGGTGGCAGCAGCCCCAACTGCTTCTTTTCCATGCACAATGAAATAAAGGCACCTTTCCACTCTCCCACCTCGGTCTCTCGTTTATTGGCCAATACAAGTCATATGGAGCAAAACCTGGGATTTCCACCTGGTAACAAAACCTGTTGCCGTCGAGTTGATTCCAACTCACAGTGACCCTACAGGACAGGGTAGAACTGCCCTGTAGGGTTAGCACTTGGCTGCTAATCGAAAGGCCAGAGGTTAGAACCAGGGGTGGATTATCCCATAGATGAAGTAAGCACAGTGCTTACCTTGCTTACCAGATCACCTGTAGTGAACAATTTCACATTTTTTGACCACATCAAAGATTCTGCCTCTAGGTATCACTGGCATCTGTCTCTCTCCCAACCCACAGCACCTTCCTACAGAATCAAAGTCTCTTTTTAAATTTACAATCCCTGACAGGGGCAGATGACCCAGTAAGCAAGGTAGACAAGGGCTTACTTACAATCTGTAGTGAACAATTTCACCTAGGTTTCACCACATCTTTGAAATTGTGGATTTGTTCACTACAGTGAAATTATTCTCTACAGATTAGGTAAGCAAGGTAAGCACCATGCTTACCTTGCTTATTGGATAATCTGCCCCTTGTTTGAACCCACCAGCTGCTCCACAGGAGAAAGATGTAGCAGTCTGCTTCTGTAAAGATTACAGCCTTGGAAACCCTATGGGGCAGTTATATTCTGTCCCATAGGGTCACTATGAGTTGGAATCGACTTGACAGTAATGGGTTTGTTTTTTTTTTTTTTGTCACTATTGACTCTATGAATAAAGTCACTAGGGACTTCATTCATTAGCTGAATGAACGAAGACCATCTACTGAGAGGCTTTCTGAGACTCTGGAATGCATGACCTGAGGAAATATTCAGCCACATGGAAGAACGTTCTTACAGGATGAGAGTAGACGTCTTCTCAAGGTAATCTACAGGATTTTAGGAGTTGTGGGCTATTGCTCTTACTTGCCACATACTTGAGGGGGTGTGGAAGGGCAAACTTTATACTTGCTTTGGATCACTGGCTTGTCAGGGCTGGTGTAGCTGTGCTTATTGTGAGCAGGAAGCCTGTGAAGGGAAGTATGTGTATGCGTGTGTCTCACATACCTGGTTCGGGAATCCAGGAAGGCTTTGTTGACTTGGACTGTGACCTGACTCACAGCATCAGAGATGGCAGCAGCTATGGTGATCTGTGCTTGGAGTGGGAAAACGGGGCAGGATATCAGACACCATGCCTTTGAGATGCCCTGTGCCTCTGCCTCACTCTTTCTCAGCCATCACTCCCACCCCTCAAATCTGAGAAGGCAGAAGATCAAGATTAGGAAACTTTCCAATGCTCTAGAGAAAAAAAGCAGAGAATGGGAAGAGTATTCTTAGTGATAAGATGTCTACTAGAATATTCAGTGATGGGACTAAGAGTGGGACCACTCAGGTTGGCTCAGCTACTGAGCGGCGGGGGTGGGGGGGGGTTTTGCTGGCTCCTGGTGGGATGGTCTCATGGATCCTTATGCAAGTCCATCACAGAGCTTAGCTGATGACCAGGACCCTAAAGCAAGTAAAGGGATGGTGTGACGGTAGACGTGGAACTCCTGCTTTCACTTGTATTGGGGTCTGGAGTGTGGGGGACAGGATGCATGCTCTAAACAGGGGGAATACAGCGGGTTGAATTAGTGTTCCCTAAAAATTCATGTTCATCCAGAACCTCACAATGTGATCTTATTTGGAAACAGGGTCTTTGCAGATATAATTAGTTAAGATGAGGTCATACTGGATTAGGGTGGGCCCTAAATCAAATGACTGGGGTCTTTATAAGAAGAGGAGAGGACACAGACACACATAGAGAAGAGGGCTATGTGAAGGCAAAGGAAAGGGTTGGAGTGATATAGCTTCAAGCCAAGAAACACCAAAGATTATTGGGAGCCACAAGAAGCTAGGAAAAGGCATGTCAGGATTCTCCCCTAGAGCCTTCAGAGACAGCGCGACCCTACTGATACCTTGATTTTGGACTCCAGGCCTCCTGAACCATGAAGGAATATATTTCCATTGTGTAAGCCACCCAGTTTGTGATAATTTGTTTTGGCAGCCATGGGAAACTAAAACAGGAGAACTTACCAGTTGCGTCAGACTCTGCAGCCTGGAGCAAGGTCAGAGATGCCAGTAGGGCTGGGAGATGGAGAAGGACCCTCATCACTGAAATGAGACACAGGTTCATTTTCGTGAGCCTCACTAAAGCCCCAGTTGGTGAGGTCACAGGGTGAGGGGGATTGAATCACAGAAAGGGGATGGTAAAGTGGAGAAAGCCCAGGGAATAGCAAACACCCTAACACTGGGATAGAGAAGAGGAAATTATACAAACTAGTGAAGCCTCTACCACAAGCCCTTGCCTCTGCTGTGTACAGGAAGAGATGTAAGTGTTGGTGGTGGAAGGGAAAAAACACAGGCTTTAGAGGGAGGCAGCACTGGGTTATAATCCTGCACTTCTCTAACTAGCTCCATGACCTTGCACGGATTACTTCACCTCTCTGGGCCACTTGCCTGCTGAGTGAAGGGCTCAGACCAAGAGATCCACGGTGTCAGATTCTGCTCTGGCAGCCTGTAACTCTTGAAATTTTGCTACCTGCCTTGTTACAGGTTTGAGAAATGCTATCACCAAACCTGGAACACGTCTTTGGAGTCTCCCCCCATTTCCACTCAGGACATATTGCCCCCTGCAAGCCAGCCTGCTCTGGCCCAGCACCAGGGGCATGTGCTGAGAGGCAGACACTCAGCTCCCTCCCTGTGGAAACCTGACAGGGGCCTTCACTTCTGCTCAAACAGCCAATCTGATCAGAGAGCATAAGTGAAAGTTGTGACAGAGCTCAGTGTGCCCCAAGCCCATTGTGGTGCCCCAGGCTGCCTGGAGGGATTCCAGCTGTTGGATTAACCCTCCATCAGGAGCTTTAACTCTGGGCCAAAATCATCTGGACTAAAATTCATGCAGCCTTGTTTTCTAATGAGGGGCTTTGGGACTTTGAGTGTCCATTGGACTTGGTAGAGTAGCCCCAAAATGTCTTTTGAGAAGACTCTAGGGCTCCCCCCTCCATCTCTACCCAAGGATCCCCTGAGAAAAATCATAGTTTTGGAGCTTTGCCTGAGAGACAGTTGGCCACCCTCTTCTAGATACTCTCCAGACCAGAAGTGGTTAGGACAGACCAGAGGAGGAGAGGAATCCCTGGGTAGTACGAATCCCTGGGCTGACTTTCCTGGTCTGTGTAGAGGAAGGGTGTGGGATAGAAAGCACAGCCAGGCAAGCACAGGGTCATGCCACTGGAAAAGGATGTTCAAAAAAGATTCTGGAGGGACACTGTCTGCAGCTTAAGCCAAGCAGGGCAAAAGGCAGAGCAAGGGGCTTTACAGTGTAAGAGACAAACAAGAAGCTTCTGTGATGCTTGGATATTTACCCACATTCTTATTATCATGGTCAGTGCAGAAACCATTTCCCAAACTCTTTGGTTTGCAGCAGAATCTGGAGCCTTCCCTGGGACATGGAGCACTAACCAGAGACAGAGCCACAGCTTCTGCCCCTCAAATGCCAGGCCATTCCATAATCCTATGCTTCTACTTGTGCTTTTCCCTATGCCTGGAATGCCCTCTTTGCCTGATAAACTCCTATTCATTCTTCAAAACCCAGACCAAATGCCACTTCCTCTGGGAAGTTTATCAAATTTCTCCAGGCAAAGTTAACTCACTCCTTTCCCTGTCCTTCCACAGTATTTTGTTCATCTCTCATATTGCTGTTTTCATGTCTCTTTTCCCTAGCAGACCATGTGCTCCTCAGGGATTACAGCTTATTTATTTATGTTTTCTCAGTGCCCAAGCACAGTGCCGACCATAATAGGTGTTGAGTACACGCTGAATGAATGAAACTCCTAGAGCAGAGAAGCTCAGCCTCTGGAGGTTGGCAGAGGAAGAGGGTGGTGCTGGTCCCTTAGTAGGCTTCTCACACTTGATTGTGCCTGCTAATTACTGGGGGGTCTTGTTAAATGCAGATTCTGACTCAGGGGGTCATGGAAGGGGCCTGAGAGTCTGCATTTCCCACAAACACCCAGGTGATATCAAAGTTGCCGGTCTGCAGACCACACTTTGGGTACTGAGGACTTCCAGTGCTTGGTGCTCACACTTGCCCAAGGGAGGCTGGAGGACGACCCAGGAAGGGAAAGAACCAGCAGGATTCTTTTCCATGAATGGAGCGCTCTCTATTGAGGATAGTAGGATGAGCCAATAGGTGGGCCAACAAACACCCATCACTCCCAGATCACTCCTTTTGATCTTTTGAGCAGCGCCAGGATCAAGAGAAGAATGGATAGGAGTTAGCTTTCATCAAGTCCTCTATAGCAGAAACAATCTTCCACCTTAGCCCCAGGGTTTGGGACTCCTGATCACATAAAAAACAATACAATTCAGCCATTCCATTCACTCAAAATGAAGCCTACCGAGTACTGCTGCAATACATACACTTAATTGAGGACCAGGTGTCTAAGGGCATTTAATACTCTTGGGACTAGAAATTCAAGGCTAACTAGATGTTCAGATCTGATGCAGGTAGCAGGCATGAGATGCTGGAAATGGGGTGGAGATCTGAGACTCCCAGCTTAGGGAACCCCTAACACCACCAAATTTCCACAACGGTGGAGAGGTCATATGACATCACTCCAGTCTCCAGAACACCCCATGGAGCCTGATTCTGTTACTATCTTCCTCCCACTTTTGGTGTGGCTCTGGACACATGGCATCTCTTCCCTGGCCTCAGTTTCTAAACTTGGATGAGAGATGTCTATGGTGCCTTCCAGCCTGAAGAGTCTATGATTCTGTGACTCGGTTTTCAGGCACAAAAAAAGCCTTCTTGCCTCACAATGAATGCAATCACATTCTCTTACACCAAACGGGGATGAACCTGCAGCCAAATCAGGAACTAGAAAATGCTTGATGAAGGCAAGTTCAAATCTAGCACTAGGATTTCTAAGAAGTCTTTAGAAAATTTCATCAGTAACTTTACAGAAACCAGGAAAACTAAAATTAACATGTCTTACCTGCCAAGTGCCTTCTGTGGCAGACAGGGGAGTTGATCTGCCTGCAAGAGCTGGTCTTCTATACTTCTAGGAAAGGCCCAGAAGGAAACACTTGAGGGGCTGATGTGGCTTGGAGGAGACACTCAGGTTCAGCAGGAAACACCCAGTGACTCCAGGCAGACGCACAAGGAAATTGCAGAACGGCAGCAATTGGTTGATGCAGTATCGGTGAGCAAGTCCTTGTCTTCCTATTTTCCACGTTAAATACACAGTGCTGTTCTCATCGTGGAAGGCAAAACTCCAAGTCCAGAGTATGCTTGTCCATCATATACCCCTAATGGGATCTGGATAGCTCTTAAAATTAGGAACCCCTTCATGTTTTTACTGCCCTCAGAGCTCTCTCTTACGGTTCACCCAATCCATTGTGGAATCAAATGGACTCATCTTTTGAATTTAAAGTGATTAGAAAGTATTTATTTTTTCCCCTCAAATTTCAAAATACTGACTTTTTTTGGACACCAGAGAGGCGGGAAGAGCCCTGGGCTTGTCAGCAGAAGGGAGGGTTCAAGTCCCGCCTTTCACTAACCCGCTGTGTGGCTCTCGGCAAGTCACCTCACCTTCTTCTGGTACCTCACATTTTTCTAGCTGTAAAATCAATAGTTGGTTTAGATGATTATTAAGATTCTATGACTTCATGTCTTCCATAGGGTCACCCATGAAAAAAACCAATATCCTGAAAATTATTGATTTAAAGCCCAAGTATAATGTTACAAACCATTCCTACCTTAGAGATTTTGAAAAATTCAAGTTCATTAGACCTATACAGGAAGGAAACAGGAAGATTCAGAGAAAATAAAATTTTATGAAAATGTATTTTACAGACAGTTCAAAAAGTGAGCTTCTTTAAGAAATTATAGTTTGAGTTGGAAATGCTCTGGGGGACTGTCAGAAATTCATCAACCAAAAACCCAACCCCTTGGTTTACCTTAGACAGAGTGATATTCCTTTTCTCCAGCCGATGGAATGGAACTAAAAGCTGCTTCTCTTGTAATGAACCAGGCAACTGAACCAGGTGCCTCAGAAGAAGGCAACTGTCTAGGAAATGCAAGTGAGGGATGTAGGCTATTCTCATTTTCTTTGAAATTTCAGCTCCATAGCCAGGCATTGTTTTTCTTTGACCTTTCCCTGAACTTGGATCATGCTTCTCAAGGTTTTTACTTCAGGATTTCATGCTTTATGGACACATGATATTTTATATTTAGATGGATTTTGGCCTACTTGGTCCCAAGTGATTTCAAGATGGAACTTCCTTCTAGAAGACCCTTTGGGATAACACTGCCTTCCCATGTGCAATAGCCAGTGAGCTACTGGAATCAGGGTAAGAGCAAGATGTGGGTCTTCATCCTGGGTCTTCCTGATGTTATGACAGGATGCGATATGTCCTGGGTTTGACCTTTTTGTACGGGCAGGAATGGGGCAGTAACAGCTCCAGCAGGGCATGGCCCTTCCTTTGATCTTGGCATGAGGCATAACTGGAGGCAGCCACAGTGGACATGTCACTGTCCGATGGCTAATTTGTATTTTCAGAGCTTTGCTGACATGTGATGATCTCTTTTCATGGGCTTATCTCAGCCAGATCTGTTCAGCACAGTTAGATGTCTTTCCATTAGAGAATGGCAAACTGGTTTGAGAAACACAGACTGGAGGACAGAAAGTCCAGCGGGAAGCTCAAAAGGACAACAGCTTCTCATGAATCAGCACAGAGATTCCAAGATACTTTATCAATAGAAGAAGCAGCAGGGAGTACCCCATGAAGATAAGATTCCTTGCTTGCCCACAGGCACATGTGCATACACACACACACACACACACACACACACACACACACACGCTCCAGGAATTCAGTCTATAAATGATGCTAGTTTGGGACATGATTGGCCCCCCTCCATTTCCTTCCAGAAGTAGAATGCTGCATGCTACACATGCAAACTTAGGCTGATCAAAGGGACACTCATGGCCATTGACAGAGCGACCACTCTGTTTGTAGGAGGTAATCGCAGCTCTCACACTGGGCCATGGTCTCCCAGTCATCCCCACCTTTACAGGTGCTGTCCTTCTTGGAAGTCTAGCCAGTCCTTTC